GATGCCTTTTGATGCTAAAGCTTTCCAGGAAGACATTATTTTTTAATTGTATATGGGAATTCCAAATTCTGAATATAGATATTTTACATGCAAATCATTTATAGATATTTTACATTTGCAAATCATTTACATGCAAATCATTTCCGAGGCATTCTACAGCTATAACTTATTCCAAAGCCATAAACATCAGGAAAAAAAAAAGTTAACTCTTCATGGATGACCACAATAATTGCAAGGGGAATATGGTAGGCATGCACTATGGAAATCCATAGGTTTTTTTTTTCTTATTCTTAGTATCAAAGCAAATCTGTTTAACATATTCTGTTTAGTTTTTGAGAATGGAGTATATCATTCATTTCTGATTATATTAATTACAAAAGTAGAAAGATGTTGAAGGTATATACATACTTTCATAGTAGCTTTAAATATGAGTCTTGGCCCTGAAAAATCTGAAGATTATTAGTTTCTACTGCCTATTTCCTCCTGTAGGAAAAAGCAGAAAGAAAGCATGCAATACAAATTCAGAAAAACCCTGCTCACCCCTAGAAAGTGTGATTGCAATGCTTCATTTTATTGCCAACATTTCAAAAGCTTATTAACAGGACTTTTTCTTTTTTTAAAAGGAGTTGTTTTTCGTACAAAATAATTAAAAAAACCTTTATTTTTTAAAGTCATTTCAGTGACCTTCAAACTAAGCTGGTCTGAAGCTTGAATATGCTGATGAAATCACTTATGTTGAAAGTTGTTTTGTTTTCTAATGAAACTCTAAACGACCAGCCATGCTGAGCAGATGATGTTTTCTCCATTATAACCAAATATTCATTAATACACGCTGTAACAAAAGTTCAAGTATGAATATAAATGAACAATAGGATTTACAGGGCGCTAGTATGACAATCTCCATTATGTCTTTACCTTTCTATTGCTGGTGTGTTTCTAAAACCAGCATGACCTTTACTTTATGCTGATTTTTGAAAAGAGAAAACAGTATCTTACCCTGAAAAATATTGAAGCATTTTATTTCTCTTTTGATTATTGCCAATTTATAATTATTTATGTTATATTTATAATTATAAATTAGTTACCTTACCTCAAAGTATATTTTATGATACGTTATTGTACTGTATATACTGAATTCATTGTAGGCAAGCATGGAATTGTGTTATGATTTTGTTCTATCTCTTTCCTTGTGGTAAAAAGATTCTGCCAGATTTATTTGATGATAAGTTGAAACAAAAGGTCTACAACTTCCTTGATGAATCCATAGGAAGATGGAGGACATGAGGTAGACTAGCTAATAGGAAAGATGCTTTTTCCATAAATGATACACATAAATATATAAACTAATAAATTAACAATTAGCGCTAATAAAGGTATTTAGATAATAAGGGAACCATGTTTTGCAAAAGACATTTGCTGTTAGTTCTATTTCTTCTTATTCTTCTGCACTTGCATGTAGTCCAATTTTTCATAGACTTCAGACGACAGAAGAAATCTGTTCATCTGGCCAAAGCAGTTTGGTTAGCAGATAAACATCATTCAATAAAGCCTGATACATATACTACTATGTGTTTGTATTTGTATGTACATTTTTTCAAGAAAAAAATTGTTCAATAGACATTTATTTTGCATTTTTTTGAATGTTGTTTGTTAACATTTTCAAATGATTATTCTTTCTTTATTCTTTATGCTATATGATTTTTTCTGAATAAGTAATGGAAAAGGAAAACATATTAATTGCAAGATAAGAAATGCCACAAATGATACTGACCAATTTTACCATGAATTTCCATAAAATTAAGTATATTAGCTTGTATCCACTGTAGATTTTGTATTCAAACTACAATAACTTTCATATTAATTATGTGTAATTTGATTCCCCCCCCCATGCAGTAAACAATAGAGTGGCAGATACATTATAAAGATACAATATTAGCTTTCTAGGGATTCTGCAAAGCAGGTATTTGAATAAGCAAGGTCAATAGTTCCTAACAATCTGAATTAAAAAATTAATTGGGCTGCTTGGTTATCTAAATAGCAGCATATTTGAAAAAAAAATGGTATATGCCATTGCCAAAAGTATATACTTGTTCCCAATTCATTTGTGGTGTGAGAAGCGTGGGAACACCCTTTTCTTGACTAATATTGAAGCTGCGACATACATTCAAAGATTGTTTTTCATCAGTCTTGTGTGAAACAGGTGTCTTGGGAAAACAAATTATCTTACATTTTGATCCTTCAGCAAGTAGGCCACAGCTTATCTCAATCAGGCTTTAAAACTATTGTCAACTATAATACAATTATCCTGGTTATAGTCCAAACCAAATGAACCAAGGCTTGGCAACAGGAGTTAATATGCCTTCTATATGTTTTTAAAAGCTATCTACACTGTTTTTCATACATGGGAAAGTATTTTCCCGTAAAGTCTCTTAATCCTATCTCTTTATCAGTTTTCTAGGCTACACTGAAGGTACCTGTCTTTGATATGGCTTGTTGAGAAAATCTTTTATTTTTTTCTCCCAATAATGAAAATTCTTAATTACAGTAGTCTGAATGTGTATAATAAACTATCAGCCTTTTATTTTGGATTAATTTAATAAATGTAAATGATTTATATTATTATTATATTATTTATATTATTTATATTATTATAATATATTATTAATATTATTATTGTTATCCTTAGGATGGTGACATTATTTGGTGGGTGGCATTTTTTCTTTCAAGAGTGGGTACCAGAATTTCATTTTAATGTGTGCCATTGTGTATAGAGAAAAATGACAGTAAAGGTTATCTTGTCTTGTCTTAATTTTATTCTGGTGGTTCATGAATATTGTTTTACTATTGCTTAATCAAGGCTACCAATGAAATATTGTCATCTTAATACACTATTCATTTTCTAGATGGCTATGATCCTTGGCTCCATAACAGGCTTCCAGAATTATGCTTTTATCCCTTCACATCCCTCCCCCAAATAATAAAATGCTTGAATTTATATCTAATGCCCCATCTTCAGACCTGGTTTTGTCCATTTCTAACCTGATATAATTATTTCATATTTCTATGCTCTCAGCCTAACCTTCCTTGGAGAAAGAATGCAAATATCCAGAGCTCCTAATAAAAGGAGACCATCCATCCATCCATCCATCCATCCATAAATAATGCTCTAGTTTTTTTTTACCAGCTCATATACTTTAAACCAGCATTAAAGTATATCTTTCTCAGGAGAAGTCTTTGAACATTTCACAAGGCTGTTGTGTACAAATCTCTTTTTTTTTCCTTGAAAAGGTGTGGGAGGGAAGATAAAGATCGTATGGTCTCTTGAACAGTATCCTAGAGTGTGAAGGATTATTTATGTCTCTTCTTCCATGATTGGAGATGAAGTTGACAAGATGTGGGAATCATCAGCAATATTATTTGCACCATCACAAGTTATATAAATATATTTCCTCCCTTTGTTTGCAAGCATAATTCTTTTACTGGCAGAACTTTTGGTCTGTGATAATGCCTGCCCAAGGCATAATGTTATTAAATGAAATTAAATGCATATAAAAATTGATCAAGAAAACAGCTGATATTGTTCCAGTAAGATCTCAATGCAGCATTTTTGCTCTTCAGTTGGAGTATTCCAAATGTAAAGTGATTTGAAAAGCTTCAACTCTTGACACCAGAGAGAGAGGGAGCAAGGAGCAACGTTTATTTAAAAATAAACAAAATCCTTCTGACTGTTTGCTTGGTTGTTAGATTCATAATCCACGTTTCTGCCTAGTATCGTTCACAATACTATTCTTCCAGTTCTGTTCCTCCCATAAGTGTGATGATGGTGGTGGTGGTGATGATGATATGATGAAAATGATGATAATATAAGGCTGTGAAATAAGGAGTAAAGGCAGCAGAGTTAAAAGCTCATGCCTTGGATGAGCATAATTGCAAACACCTTTATCAACAAAGTAATTATGAAGATATAGAGATTGGGCCAAAACAATTCACTGAACTTTCATCGCTGAAGCGAATCCATATCCAAATCACTCCATCTCTGGTGTTGTAATCTAAACACTCCATCATCTGGATATCCCTTGGGCAAGTTAAATAAAAAAATCCAGCAAACTAGATAGTCTAATCTTGGACCATGGATTGGACTATTATTTTGAGATTGCATGAATTCGGATCTAAATTATCATCCTTTCTCATCACTTTGCCCTGGCCTGTTCTCATCATGCTTCTTTTGAGATTTCCTGAGGTTGGGATTTTGGGATTTCTAAAACAATGAACTGTCTAAGCCGACAGGACTGAGAAAACCAATGTTTTCTTGGGTCCTAAAGCATTAAACACTGATACATAAAACAATATATCCAACACGGTTTTCCCCAGACTCTAAAATATATTTAAGACTCTTTCAATTAATAATTAATATTTATATTCTCCAGATATAAACAAATAAATCAGATATTTGCAGCCTGCAATTTAATATCACGTATAACATTTTAATTTCTCAATATTTACTGGGGACAGGGAAAGCCCAGACAGGTGTTCACAAGAATGGATAACACTGAGGAGCTTTCCTCCTCCTCTTGAGCAGAAACTGGAGTAAAATGACTCCCTCATCTAGCTTTATCCAATATTGTTTTCTTCACAAAAGCCAGCTTGAAAGAATTTGAAAAACTCGCTCTCTTGTTTCCCCTCATTAATTGGGTATCTGTTGCCTTTGGGTGGGAAAGAAGGAGTTTCCAGAGTGATTAAGCAACACGACCTAGCAAAGCCCATTAACATGGATAAAAGGATTTCCTGGTGGTATAAATACCTGCACACAACTCACAGTGTACCATAACTCACATTATGTATATATGCAAGTAATGATGTTGGCCAACTGAATTTGAGTTGCTGTGAACTGTATAGGATAGTCTTGGGAGAAAAGCAAGGCACAGCATAACTTCATTTCTCTCTTTCACTCTCATTCTATTTTCTTGTTTTGGGGGGTTTTTTGCTTATTTTTGGTGGGAATGAGTTGTCAAGTCTTTTCTTCAGCTGACACCTTCATCCCCTTGACTTCTGACTCGTCTTCCACTCTGCCTCTGATAATGCATCATAGTGCTGCAGAGTGCTTACCCGTCTCCAATCATGCCACTAATGTGGTTTCTACAGGTATTGTTTCTCTTATTATAAAATTACTACTTTTATCAGTGTGCCATTTTATTGGCTTCAGTTTAGCACATTTGCTATGCTATACAAATACTTTAAGAAATTTTTCAAGCAAAATCTGTATTTAATTAGCTTATAATATCTTTTAATTACGTTGATTTCACATTCCTCTTTGAGGCTGATCTTGTAATCAATATTCGACCATCAAATTGATGTCATTCTACTCAATATTTAATGATTTGAACTCATTAAATTGAAAAGAATACAAACTTTTTGCTTTATTTCCCTTCTAAAAACTTCTGGCACAGAATGGAAAGAATGGAAACTTTACATTTTATGAAATGACAGGTAATGACTTAAATGAGAGGTGGGTATCTGTCATTGCTCCAATCCTGAAGTAATGCATTTTGATGCTAATTATGCAACATTAGTTTATTTCAGGTTATATGAAATGACTTCCATCTGATTTTCATTATACTTCTTTCTCAAATAGTTGAAATTAATTCCATCCACGAAATATGGAACACTATTAATATTGTAAAACTTCATTTGTAAAGAAAGCAAACTATCTTGCTGTTCATATAAAAACATTGAATCTTTTTATGAAAGACTGTAATTTAATTGCAATGCAATGAAAAAAAATCACTTTTTACCTCTTCCCATTCTGTCTTATAATTTTTAAAAAAAATATATTTTTCCATTGCTGACCCTCTATCATTGTCCACCTAATTACAAGCATGATAAAAAAATAAAACTTGAGGAAGTAAAGTAATAATATCAGTGCTTGTAATTACCTCTAAAACAACCTTTAAATTATTAAACAATGAAAGTATGTACAAATTTTTGCAGCTTTGTATTCTATACATATATTCAGGGAAATGCTTTCCGTTTCTATCTTCTCCTGATTCTTCAAAAGGAATGAGAAAGACTTGATGATATGTTATTTTAATATATTTTATATAATATTTCACATTAATTTAATTTGGCAGCTAATGGTTGTACCTTAATGAAGTCTTTTACTTCTAACTGAATGGAACTACAAATTTTGAAATTGCATTTGACAACTTCGAAAAATAGGAATTGTTATCCAATATTTCATATGGCAGTAAACTGGAGATCCTACCTCAATGTAGTGTTCATTAGTGAAATATTTTCATATTGATTCATAAATTGATGTATATATATAATTCTTAGAAAAATAATATAAATATTTTCTTCCCAGAAGATTTTAATTGAACTTGTATTTTATTTTATTAATCAATAGCTTTATTTCTGAGTGCTTGTTTACTTAATAAATCCCAATGTATTCAAAGAGACTAAATACCAAGTAAGCATACATAGACCATAGCCTTGTTTTCTGTAGTAGTATTTTAATCTTGCCATTGAAAAGTAAACTATATATAATTTTCTTGCTTTGTACATCAATTGACAGCAGGATGTTTTAGGCATTTTGAATGGTGCTTGTCAGGACACATTCACGGGAAGAAGGGTTTATTTATTTATTTATTTTCATTCTTATACACACTTATCATTCCTAATATTTACCCATTCAAGATGCCATTTATACAGAAAACAATATATTAACACTGAAACATCATTTTGTAGGATACAAATTGTTCAGAAGGTTCCATGCAGGTATACTTATACTATTTGCAAAAAAGATCTTCAAGTCAAAGAGGCGATGGGCAATTATTCAGTTGATCTCTTTCTTCTTTCTATATGAGATGAATACTTTCAAAGATTTTATTTCATATTGTACTGTATTTCAGAGTATGAGTACATAATTTTCAGTAGACTTCAAAAGTTAATCACAGAAAACTAAATACAGCTGATATTGATCTTTGTAATGCAGTAAAATACTTGTTTTTTTTAAAAAAAAATATTTACAGTATACTGAATAACAATAGTAATAATTATAATACTTTAGTAAAATTATATTCTGGCTTATTCAACAACTCTGTAATAATAATTGTACTGTTATTATTTAATAACCTTTTTTTATAAAAGTCATGTGGAAATGAGTTTACTAAATTGATTCTTAAATATAAGACATGAATGGAAACATATATAATTCAACATGCGTTAAATGTTTCACCATCTGCCCAGTTTATTCCAGATTTCAGCCTATAACTTACTAGGCAGAGTAAATGGGTCAGTAGTCATTAAATTGGATGACTAAATTGCTACATGTAGCAATCAAACAATATCATATTCTTAAGATATTCAGTTCAGCTCATGACAAATCCAAAAGATAATTTTCATATATTTTGATAGAGGTAATATTTTATGAATCAGTGTATATATTCTTACTGGTCTCATCTGTTTGTCTTTGAACCCAACCCTTAAATATGCCCATATATGCTTTTCCATGGCTACTATGGGAAATATGCCATCAGGTCTGCATTATTCTGTTCCTTCTTGTCATTATGGAAACCAACAAACTGCATATGGGATGATGGCAGGTAAGAAATACTTTCTGAAACAAAATCTATAGCATTTTGACTAAAGATAATTCCAAGCGATTGTTCATTTAATCTATAGCTTACCTGTGGCATTGGCAAAACCTATACCAAAGTGAGTGCCAGTCTAAAAGCCTAAAAAAATCTCATAATCATAGCTACTTGGAATTATTTTTTGGTCCTCTAGCTAATATTGTCATGTGCTAAATGTTATCGCAAAGTGTTAGCATATATAGAAAGCATGGGTACTAAGTATAACAAATGTAAGGCCGATCATCTGGATTGTCTCTCCCTTAAAGATTTGAAAATGCTTACATGAAGAGGTCTGATCCATGAGAAGTATCTTGATAAAGGCCTTTCTTTGCTCTTGTGTCATTATTATAAAAATAAATTCCCCTTTAAGTTGAAGCTGAAATCCAAATAACTTCATAATTTATTTATGTACCTTTCTTGACAATGTGCCAGAAATGGCTTCACTTCAGGAGTAGTTTTCTTTTTTCTTCAAATTCGCATACTAGCCTTTTAATCTGCTTTTCTTTAGAGAATTCTCATCCAGATACTAACTAGGCTTGGCTTGGTTTAACCTCCCAGCACAGTTACTGCTATTTCCTTAGGTTTGTTCCAAGAAATATTACACACTTCAATAAAAAAATAACTATAAATAAAAAAATAAATATAATTCATTTATTTATTTTTATGAAAAAATAGGAGCAACAAAAGAAAAGGGAGCTATAGGAAGGTTGAGAAGTAAACATTCAATTTCCCTAGACTTTTTATGTTGCATGTAGAACATTGTGTAGACCAGTGTTTTTCAACCTTGGCAACTTTAAGATGTATGGATTTCCCTGGCCAGTACTGAATTCCACACACCTTAAATTTGCCAGAGTTGAAAAATACTGAAGTAAAACAGTATTTTGTAGAATGAGCTGTTATTTGTAGAACATAGTACTTGTCATAATTCACCTACTTTATCTATCATTGCAATTCTCCATGTGAAATAATTAAATTTCCTAAAAATAATCTTGGCATCCATTAAAAAGAAAAAATAAAGCTTCCAGATAAGTATTCTGCGTAAAACTGCAAGAGGTTCTAAATAAACAAGAAAAACACATAGTATTATTAATAGGTGATTGGAATGTCTATGGAGATTCTCAGTTATCCAGGTCACGATTGTCCCAAAGGTGCTTTTTAAAAAGGAAACTGGACTTTCTTTGTTTTTCCTTGAGGATATTTCACTTCTCATCCAAGAAGCTTCTTCAGTTCTGACTAAATGATGGAGAATAAAAGGATTTATATTACTGCAGTCATCTGGTCATGAGAGTGCTAACAACCAGAAGACTGCATGCAATGTAAATCCTTCTATTTCCCACCATTTAGTCAGAACTGAAAAAACTTCTTGAATAAGAAGCGAAATGTCTTCAAGGAAAACAAAGAAAGTCCAGTTGCCTTTGAAAAAGCACCTTTGGGACAGGTGATCAGAATGTAAAATCTGTAGAAAGGTAGGAACTGGAAATTACAGAAAGATTTGGATGAGAGTATTTTCAACATCTACGTCAAGCAACATGAATGTAAATCTTACCTGTGGACATATCAAGTTAGTTGAGATGTTTCTCAATGCAGATTATAAAAAAAGATCATGACTTATTGGTATCAATTATATAGGATATATTAATAACATTTTAAAAAGTACAGGTTCTTCCTCACCACAGCACCAAGTAAGGTTGTCAAGTGGACTAGGTGCCAGAAAATATGCTGGCTCAAAGATGTCCATATTAAGAGCCACAGGGGAATAGATAGGTGGGATGAGAAATCCCTTCTTTGTTGACAATTACTGTAAGCAGAAGACCAGTTGGTCTCTTGGTCTCTTGCTGTCAGTTATCCATGTTCTGGTGCTTTTCTCTCTCCTCATTTTTCCTGCTGCCCATGTCAAGAGAAGTGGGGAGAAAAGAAAGATTTGCAGGAATGGTTCTCATTTATTAATGCTATTATGGGCTAAAACTAAGGTGGAATTCTTCATCTCTCAATTGCTATTCTTGCAGTCTCCTCTCCCTCCCGCCCATCTCTAATAGGTATCAAGCCTACAGCTCCAGATGTGCTGGCAGCAAGCCTCTCTCAAAGCCGTATTTTGCAGACCTGCAGTATGTCTCATCCCAATGTTGTGAATGGAGTTGGCACTTTACAAGGCAAGTCTCTCCACTCTAGTGAAGTTCCTCTTAACTATCTCTTATTTAAACTAAGTATTCTCTTCCTGTGCTCTTGATAGGGTCTCATTATCTCTTTTGCAGCTACAGCCACTGCTGGCTCATGTTTAATCTGACTTTGCTCTATAAAGTCAGATTCTATCTATCTTGTACTTGTGCACCTGGTTTTCCTACAAAATGAGACCTTATGTTTATCACCATTGAACAGAATTTTGTTAGAAACATACAACCTATCAATATTTTTTGAACCTTGAGTCTGCATTCTGATGTGTTATAATATCTCTCACTTTTGTATCATTTGCAAATTTTCTGAATGTATTTTTAGATCTTTAAGTCATTTACAAAAATACTGAAGAGCACTATGCCAAGGACAGTAATTTCAGGTACCCTCATGCATGCCTCCTTCCATGTAGTCATAGATCCATTAAGGATGATACACTGGGCATGGTTGTTCAATCTACTATGAATCTATATGGCTGGTGAATTATCCATCCTCCATTGTTTTGTCTAAAACAGCATATATGGGTATAGCCAACTTTTTCAAATGCCTAACTGAGGTTTAGATATTTTGTATCTACACCATTCCCTTAGTCATAATTACCTGCCTAAAAAAGCAGTAAGTTTTGTCTATCATGATATATATATATTAATATAACCACACTGTCTTCTAGTAATCTCCATTATTCTTTCTAAGTGCTTGCAAACTCATTGCCTGCTGATTCTTTCTGGGATTTCCCCAGATATTGATTTTTTTATTGGTCTACACAGTTTTCTGTGTGGTTTGTAGTTTCCTTCTTAATCATGTCCATCAACCTTTCTGCTTCTTGCACTCTATTTCCATCTACTTTTTCCAGCATTATAAACTTCTTAATAAAGGTAGGTGCTTTTCATAAAGTGCTGAAAATGTTATATTTTCAATCTGTTCATTTGTGCCTCAAATAAGAACTTTTGATCAATTTGTTGTATGATTCAGATATTGTTGTTTGAAGTATCTAAAATATTTTCAGTGGGGTTCTCCAATATTCAAAAAAAGTCAATATTCTTTTTATCCAGTTTCTTCAAAGGTGTTTCACCTTCACTTCCCTACAATATTACAGAGAAAATCATTGCCTGAATGATAGTGATATTTCTATGGGTAAACCCATCATGAAGAATGGGATAGGGGGAACCCAGAGTGGAACAGAGTCCATTAAGTGGCTTGTTTCATTGCTTGTTGTTGCCAGTGGGGTGTGGGTTTATTGTTTTTACTCTTTTAATATTGGGATTTTTTTAATAAGCCACCTAGAGTTATTTAAAGTGAGTTGGCAGCTATATAAATGTTCTAAACAGTGCTTTTTTCTAAAAAAAAAAAAGGTGCTGGATATCACATGTCATACAACCCGTCTTGCCTACCCTACAAGGTTCCATCCAAAAAAGGTGCCGGAACTCTGTTCTGGGCATTGTATGACAAAAAAAGGCCTGGTTCTAAATAAATAAATGCATCTAAATATTCTTCCAAGTCTTTATTGCTATCTTATCAAGTGCTGGTCTATATCATATTTTTTGACTGTCTGCTTGTATTTTTACAGTTAGTGGTTGATCGTTTTTAATACTGTAGATAGGCAGAAGCTGTCTAGTATTTCATAATCTTCATTGTCAATTCTAAGGCTAATGCCACGTTTATTGCCATTAATTTGATATTTGTTATATTTTATATTTAAAATATTTGTTTTATATTGCTAAAATGTACAGTTGCAATTAGATGTTTTCACCATAAATGTTTTATATTTATATTTTTTGTATTTAATCTTAGTCCCATTGTTTCACTATGTTCTTAGATTTTAATTAGTAAAACTTCCATATAATTTGCTTTACCAGAATATTATTACAGACACAGTGCAGGTTACTGATGTTTCTTTCTCCAATTTTAAAACCATGCTGATCCTTATACTGATATTGGCTTCATGGCCATTATCTGTTGGGCAGTGTTGGGCTTCAGTGTTTAGTGGACTGTTCATATCTACAGATCTGACTTTGTTAAAGACCAATGAGAAGTTAGGATATTTTGCTATAAAGACAGGACTCTAATCAGTCCCTGGTCAGTTGCTTGTGATGTGCGTAGCAGAACCACCTGTGTCTGAAGATGCCAGCTACAACTGCTGGAAAAACATCAGGAAATCTTCTTTCAGGCCATGGTCACTAAACCTTGAAGCCCAACACTACTCATCTTCTTTTAGTCCAGCTTCTCTTAATATATATTCAGCTTACAAATTGAATAAATATGAAAAGAATACACAGCCTTGTTTAACTTTTCCAACTTAGAGCTAGTGCAGTTCACTATATTCTGTTTGGAATGTGGTTTTTCTTTTTCTGTATATACATTTTCATGATGACAATGACCTGCATTGTGATTCCCATTCTTCTAAACACATTCCATAACTTGACTTTGTTTATCCAATCAAGCATTTTTCTACAATCAATGAAGCCCATATTGATTTATTTTTGTATTTTCTGGATCTCTCAATTATCCAATGTGAATCAGCAATGATGTCTATTCTGAAACCTGCTTGAACATCTGATATTTCCCTTTTATATAGGGTTATAATCTGAATTGAATGATCCTAAGTATTGTTTTGCCAGCTTGTGAAATTAAGGGTATGGTATAATTTGTACCCTTTTAAAATCTCCTTTCTGTTGACTGCCATGTTGTTCTCCAAATCTGCTATAATAACTTGGTTGGAACATTTATTCTTCTTCTGTTCCTTACCATATTTTTATGAATAATGCATTAACACTTGCAGTCTTTCAACTTCTACCCAGAGTGCTGATCTACCCTAATGTCCTATTACTAAGAGTTCTTGTAATTATGGAATATCTGCTACGATTTCTTTGATGTCAACATGTCTACTATACAGTATTTCACTATACAATAAAGATGGATTTTTTTCCCATCAGTTACTATTTGTCCACTGCTGGCTTCCCAATCTGAGATTACAACAGCCTTCTGAGTTCAGAAATCTTTTGAATGACTTTCCTTCTTTTCTGTTTCCATCTTCAGTGTCATTGCAGATATCATTGTAATACTGCTATTAATATTCAGGCACATGTTCTCTAACAACAATTGAGACTGAATTCAAATAACAAACAATGTAAGCGATCATTACCCATTCTTTACCAATGATTGATATACACTTAACAAAATACAATATTTTATCTCCTTAAAATTGGTTTCTAATCAGAAAGCTGTATGTGTTTTGTTTCTGGATAGGTGGTCTCACTCCTTGCCTGTATAAATTCCCTGAGCATGCTCTAAGTGCCAGTTCATGTGCTCTAGGCCACAGCTTTACTTCCATGCACCCGTCTCTACTTGGAGCTGATCCTACCACTGATTTTAAGCAGGAATTTCGGAAGAAGGCCAAGTCACTTGATGAACCAATAGATATGGATTCTCCAGAAATTAGAGAGTTGGAAAAATTTGCCAATGAGTTCAAGTTGAGAAGAATTAAGCTAGGTATGTGATTCATGCAACTAGGCAACTTAAATATATTTTGTTTTATTCTAAAGTATCATATATAGAGATTGGAAATAACTACACCTACCACTTTCTTTGTTTCTTCTTTGACCTTGGATTTTTAGTTTGATTCTGTAGGCCTATTTTCTTTTGTCAGGTTATACACAAACAAATGTTGGAGAAGCTCTAGCTGCAGTGCATGGCTCTGAATTCAGCCAGACTACTATTTGCCGGTTTGAAAACTTGCAACTGAGTTTCAAGAATGCCTGCAAACTAAAATCCATATTAACTAAGTGGTTGGAGGAAGCAGAACAAGTAGGAGGTATTACAGACTTTTTTTTAAAAAAAATGTCAAAATTATTTGTGTTTATGTGCAAGTTATGTGCAGCATTATGAACCTGAAAAGTTTTGAACACACATGGACACACAAGTAGCACTCGTCAGCAATTTGCTAAACTGATCGAACCTTTTCCCAGGGTTGTGCTGTAATTGTGGAGTACAGCCATGGAATTTAAGGAAGAGATGCAGCTATTTTAAGGACTTGTTGACAGGGGCAAGAATATAGTATTCTTTGTGCTCCAAAGAACTTCTTTCTTTTCAAAACTGAAGCACTACACAGCTACATTGCATGTTTAAGACTGTACATGGAACAGTGAAAATATGCAAGAAACATGGTTGTTTTCAGACAACAATTCACTTATTTCTTAAAGGAAGAACTGGATTATTCTCACAATCCATGTCCAAGTCTAGTGCTATGTACCTGTAGAAAGCTAAGCTATTGTGTATTTGCATTATGACAAATGCTATGTTTGTTTGTATGTACACATGTATCTATATATGTAGAGCCCCTTCACACTGATGTATAGTGTGCATTGTAAATGGGAACCAGATACATTAATGTTATGGAAACAGTGTGATTCCTCTCACACTATACATGCTCACTGAATATACAGGAAAAGTGCATATAAACAAAATCAAATAATGTTTCCAGAGCCTGACAGAAATATTAAAGTAATATCTATAACTTAAACCAGTAATGCTAAATATGTTCCTGAACTCTATCACCTCAGGCAGTTATAAAGCTACTTTATGAAGTAATAGTTTACACATTTTTAACTTGAAAATACATGGAGACAACACTTTTTATTTGCCTCATAACATATGTGAAGGCAAATTGTGAAGCATTTCTTCAGAAGACTATGGATATGTAGATTTCCACAACTGTGAAGGTTGCAGAAATAGTCAGGAGAACAAATGTTCTTGGCCAAATACAGTCAGATTCATATATTTTGGGACAATAATACATTTTTGGGCATTTGGCTTCTGTATACCACCACTCTGAATTTGAAATGAAACACTCAACATATGAGCAAAGTGAAGACTTTTAGCTTTAATTCAAGGGGTTTAACAAAAGTGTGGCATTACACATTGAGGAATTACAGCATTTTAATACACCCACCTCTATTTTTGGTGATTCATAAATAATGGGACAAATGGGTGACAAACAGTTCCAGGTGTGCCCTGTTCCCTGATGACAAATCAAGCAGATAAAGGTCTGGATTTGGTTCTGAGTGTTACATTTGCATTTGATAGCTGTTCACTGAAACACTCAACATGAGGTCCAAAGAGGTATTTATGCAAGTGAAAGAGGCCACCATTAGACAGAAGAAAAAATAAACCCATCAGACAGATAGCAAAAACATTGTAAGTAGCCAAAACAACAATTTGGAACATTTTTAAAAGAAGGAATTAACTAGCAGCTCAGCAACACCAAAAGGCCTGGAAGACCATGGAATTTTCTCATTGGTGAAAAAAAAAACCACCTTTCACAATTCTGGCCAAGTCTAGAACACTCTTGAGGAGGTAGGCATGTTATTATAAAAGCCTACAGTCAAGAGACAGCTTCATGAATGTAAATACAGAGGCTTCACAACAAGGTGCAAAGCATTGGTAACACTCCCTAACAGAAAGATCAGATTAGGCTTTTCCAGAAAGCATCTAAAAGAGCCTGCCCAATTCTGAAATAATATTCTTTGGACTGATGAAACCAAGATCAACTTGTACTATAATGATGGAAAAAGTATGGAAAAGGGAAGGCATGGTCGAAATATATCAAATCATCTGTCAAACATGGAAATGGCAATGTCATGGCATGAGCATGTATGGCTGTCAATGAAACTGAGTCACTGGTGTTTATTGATGACTTGAATGCTGATAAAAGGCAAAGAAATCAAGATAAAGAAATGGAATATTCTTCACTGGCCAAGTCAGTCACTGATCTCGATCCAATAGAGCAGCGATGGCAAACCTTTTAGAGACCGAGTGCCCAAACTGCAACCCAAAACCCACTTATGCATCGTTGAGTGCCAGGTGGGTGTGGCCCATTGGCTGGGCATGGCTCATTGGCTGGGTGTGGCTGCAGTGGTAACGGCAGACTGGGTGGGACTAAAAAGTTCAATCAATCAATTCCAACTTTGCAAGATCTTTTTGTTTTCCCTGAGAAGTTGAAATTGACTGACTAATTGAACCTTTTTTTTTTTGCACATGGCGGCGGAGGCCTAAAGCGAAAAGGTTTTATAAAACCCAGCTGAAGGCCTAGGACTGGGGCGACAGCACGCATGAGAGAGGGCTCTGAGTGCTGCCTCTGGCACCCGTGCCATAGGTTCGCCACCACTGCAATAGAGCATGGTGTTTATTTACTGAAGGCAGAAAGACCCACAAACAAGCAACAACTAAAGGCTGCAGTACAAGTGTGACAAAGCATCTCAAACTCAGCATTTGGTTATATTCATGGGTTCCAGACTTCACTGACTACAAAGAATTTTTGTCCAAGTACTAATAATAATCCTTATATTTGTAATTATTTTAGTTTGTCCCATCATTTATGAGCCACCAAAAATAAAGGTGGGTTTATTAAAATGGCTGTAATTCCTCAGTGGTTAATGATTGACTACACTTTTGTTAAGCCCCTTGAATTAAAGCTAAAAGTCCTCATTTCACTCACATTTTGACTGTTTCATATCAAATTCAATGTGGTAGTGTACAGAGAGCAAATGCAACTTATCATTATCACAATATATACAAACCAGACATGTTATATGCTCCTGATGTATTCACATGAGTTCTCCTCTTACAGTCATAATGCACAAAATAATTCTAAACAATTTAGTTTTTATTGTACAAGAGCATAGCAGCCTGCCAACTAATGTATAATGTCTGTCATAAGAAAATAGTTTAGCTTGAATTTTAACAAACTTTATTGCACTTCTCTCTCACTATCACATACAAGCATACATTTTATAAAATATCAAATACAAATCAAAACACAAATATTAAATACAGTACGTGACATGAGGTGTTTTGCAACATTGTCTTTTTAAATTATTTTTTAATATTTAATTATTCTTTTTTAATTATTTTTTTCCCACTGTATAGCTCTATACAATGAAAAAGTTGGCATGAATGAACGGAAAAGAAAACGCAGAACCACCATTAGGTAATAAGTAATCCACCTTTTTCACATGTATGGTCCTCATGAGTGATAGGGATTCTGTCTATTAGACTTCTCTACTGTATCTTCTCATAATGATTTACAACTTGTATGCAACTGTTTTAGCATGTCTGATTAAACTGTAGGTTTCAATGTATTTCTAAATCAGGCATGTCAAACTCGCGACATCACATGACGTGCGATGTATCAGGACTTTTTCCCCATTGCCGACAATGGGGTGGGTGCGGTTTTGGTATGACACATCCGGTCCGCAGGCCGGAAGTTTGACATGCCTATTCTAAATGAACAGAGGCTGACACTTCTATGAGGTGTGAAAACTATGAACAATTGAAGTTAAAAAGAGGTTGGATTTTGCAGCAATACAACAATCCAAAATGTACTTCCAATTCAACTATGATGTGCTCAGCAGGCAGGTAGGCAAGCAAGCAGGCAGGCAGAAAGTTTGTAATTATTTCCTAACTCTGAATATTATTAAAAATATGTTAGATCTTAAATATGCTGAGGGTACCTGAGAATATTTCTGATCTACAAAATTTCTGCAAGGCAGGGTGGGAAAAATAGCAAAGAGAATGGAAAGACTTAGATCAGGGGTGTCAAACTGCTGGCCCGTGGGCCGGTTTCATCATACCGGAGCCGCACCCACCGCATTGCCGGCAATGGCAAAATAGTCCCGATACGTCTCACGACGTCACGTGACGTCGCAAGTTTGACATGTCTGACTTAGATGGTTACGGATGGTTTAAAAATATTTATTTTGTTCATAATTACAAAAAAAGTTACAAAATACTGATTGGAGAGTGTCCAAACTTCTCTACTTACCATATTTTTCAGATTTTGAGTTTCTAAACAACTGCACTTAAATATTTGTTCATGTTCTTAGAAAAGTGTTTTGTTTATTTTGTACCTTACTGAGATTATATCAAGTGTTCTCTGAAGGATACATTGAAAGACATATTTTAATCAGGGGACTCTAAACAACTAAATCTTTTCAACAATCAAAATAAAAGCCACAAATGTTGCTTATATTATATCCATATTAATTTTTCCAATATCTGAATGGAGTATATAATTTTATCAGATTATAAACTGCACAAAATGGGCGCAGTTTATCCGATCACTCCAAAGTTCAACATCATTATCACTAATATTTAACAGAATACTGCTTTGATATCAAAACTGAAGTACAGTGCTGCCCTCTTGTGATCAGAACTATTGATTAAACCTATATTGCATTTTGAAATTGTTAAAACTAAAAATAAAAATGTATTACTGTGTAGAATCTTTTATAGCATTTATAAGCAATATCAAGACAACTATAATTAAAGCTGAAAAGCATCCTTGTGAACCAAATTGACACACTAGGAAGCAGAAGTATTTGCTCATTGGATTTAAAAAAAAGGCAGAGACATTTTCCTCAATCTTATTTGTCCTTACTATTCCTTGGATAAACGGAAGATAACTCAGAAAATGTGTCAATAATGATATGAAAGCAAAATCAGAGGGAAGGAACAGCAGCAAAGAATGATGATCTAAATATACACCATTTAGAAGTACTGAAATAACCATAAGCCTTGGCTCCTTAGTCTTCCCAGAAAGGTCTTCTTTTTGGTTTCAGTAATTTGTTACTTTTTCTTTCTTTATGCATAAGGGGGAACATATGGCATGTGAAGATTTCTGTTGTCACTGAAGCCTGCTAAACAAGCACTGACAAAGTTAAGCAGCAGCCAAGAGCAGGGAAGCAGAAGGGGCTTTTAGTACTAAAGCTCTCAACTATGTCCAATAATGCTTACAATTGCCATTAGCAATTGGGCAGTAGTAATATAAGTACAACATTATCCAAATCATATCCAATTAATCTTCTATTCAAACTTATGTACTAGAATTTTAGTTCTTTATGGAAAAGCTGCTTGCAACTCTACTGAATTATAATTTTAAAACTAATGCCACTCTAATGAGTATAATTGGTAAGGGGACCAATGGCAACATAGGATATTAGATTTCTTCCAATTGTTTTCAGTGAATAGGAGATAATGCACACAATGTATGTCCACCTGGCTTACCCGACTAGACATGTATGCCATGTCCATGTTATTTCTAGTATACAGAATGCTGGTTTTTTATAATTATTGAATTCTGATCCAACTTAAGTGTGATGCAGCAACCATAGTACTTTTGATGTTACCAAGCGCACATTTAAGAGGGTGTCATAAATCAAAAGGGAAATTTTACTGAAGTGTTCTCATTTTTCAGTATCATTTTGAGGCTGGTCATGTCCTTTTCTTTTGTAGATGATGTAGTTCTTCCTTGCTAATTTCTTTTTAAGCTACTTTAGGCACTGATTGGGATGAACATGGAAGGGTTCTCCCCCAGAAGTCTTGTTTTATAGTCTATCTGTTGTGTACCTAGACATATAAAATTTACATGATTTCATGCCCTTTTCAACACTTGAGATACTGAATATATATGATAAGCTGCCTACTGTTTTCATGTAGCATGAAGACAGCATGAAGACAGGAGTATGATTGCAATGTGGTATTTTTCTTTTCAGTATTGCCGCAAAAGAAGCTTTGGAAAGCCATTTTACAGAACAAAGCAAGCCTTCATCTCAGGAGATCATGAGGATGGCAGAGGGGCTGAATCTGGAAAAAGAAGTGGTGAGAGTTTGGTTCTGCAATCGAAGACAAAGAGAAAAGAGAGTGAAGACAAGTTTACACCAGAACACCTTTAATTCCATTATTAAGGACCATCAAGAGTGCTAGTAGAATTCTTTCCACAGACAAATGGATTTCTTAGCTTTAACTGTTTGAAAAACTTCTTGCCCCACCATACCAACAAAGAAAGTAGTATATTACCTTTATAAATGTATTTAATAATGAAAGTTTAACTTTATGTATTTCCATAAGTACCTTTACTTAATAGAAGGCATTAAAACTGTATGCTTCAAAAATGATTGACACTTCAGGAACATTTCACACCTCCCTGCTATTCATTAAGAAACTCCTTTCTCTTCAGGATTCTCCACCAGCTGGAAAAAGAAGTCTAGCTATTTAAAGGTCGCATCAACTTTGAATTATCAGGGTTTGTGCAAATTCTAGGGCATTCTTCAAAATCATTGGTGAAGGGTCTATTGCTCTGGAAGTCCCATCATATTAGTGCAGAAAGACAAGATATTTGGAAAGCTAAAAAACAGGCATTTTTTCCCCTCTTATGAAGACTGGTTAATTTATTGCCTGATTTTTAGTTTTTGCAAGAAGTAATTTTTGGTGCTGAAAAGGTAAACATCTCTAATATTTGTTAAAAATATCAATTAAATATACCAATAAATTAAATAATATGTTTTTATATTTAATTAAGCCCGATTTTTTTGAAAATGGTACATTGGTGATTAAATAGGAAGCATTATGCCAGGTCTCATTTGGAATTTGGACATCCAGTTGTTAGCAAATGGTTAACCTGGGAGTCTCTATCTCATTCACAAAATGGCTATCACAAAACCACATCACCCCTGATCCCAACCCCAAATCAGGTAAACAAACAAACAAAAAAGTGGGAATGTGATGATGGTATCTATATACTGTAGTTCTTTAATCCAATATTTTATTAGCACCATTTTATAGTAAGATAAATTAGTGTAGTATGTTTCAACATTAAGTATTTCGCTCTCCTATGAGAGTGAGATTTTGAAGGAGGGCTAAAAAAATTGCAGAAATTCCTAAAGCAGGAATTGAGAGATGAGAAAACAAACAAACAAACTGAAATTGAAAAGTTGCCAAGTTAAATTCTGCCTCATATTGGGTGCATTTTTTCCTGTCTAGTACTTCTTTTAGATGTTCCCTTTCAGCAATCTGCAGTTATAGAATAATTAATTTTTAAACATAATTTTCAATATTTCAGCTGAGGTAGTATTTTTAAGATTTTTTTCACCAGATGAATTATTTCTCCTAGTAACTAAGTTTATTCTATTCAAATTATTACAGATGTTTTCAAAGCAAAAAAACAGATTTTTAAAAATTGCATTTTTTTCAAAAATTCATGTATTGTTAATTTAACTAATATTAAGGATCTGAATATAGGAAAGTACAGATGAGAAGATTAACAGAATATAAATATAATTTTTTTTAAAAAAAGGTCACATCTAGTTTTCACATGTTGTATAACAAAATTCTGCTCATGCCTGCACCGAAGTTCCATTAAGTTAAATGGAGCTTACTTTTAGGTACTAATATGTAAATTGCAGCCAAAGTAACTAATTGATAGATTTTAGATCCTTATTATGAAGTAATACAAATTAAATCTATCAGATTTAATTGGCAATAGTTAAAGACTTTTATTTCATTTTTACACCATGAAAGCTTACACAACCTTACCACATTGGGATATACTGTACTAAACATTATTGTAGTTATAAAATCCAATTTCATGATACTTAAGTGATGTGACGCTTTGACACAATGCATAATTAAATAATTGCTTCCTTTTAAAATTGAATGCTACATTCTCATTGCTGTTAACATTCTATTTTCATATAATTCTTGGTCAAATAATATAACCTCAAAATTATTTTGTTATGTTATTCATTGACTCATCCTTTGCACCTGTAAGATTAGTGCCAAGTCTACAATGCAGTTTGAAAAAAATACAAAATACTCTTACAACCTGCTCTTCTATTGCTACACAATTCAAGTGAAGTATTTGTCCTGTAACACAGGGGTCCCCAACCCCCAGTCTGTGGACCAGTATCGGGCCACCGCATGCCAGCAACCAGGCCGCATAAACAAGCAAAGCCCCATCTGGTCCGCAGAAAAACCTCTCTCTACTTAACCGATCCCTGGTGCCCAAAAGGTTGAGGACATCTGCTATAACACATATAGCATGTGTTACTTAACCACGTTAGGCTCAATTTAAATTCAAATAAATTCATTAACTTCAGTTAAGCCAGTGTGCAACATTTAAGTGTAAAAATGGATATAGAGCATATTATATTGGACAATAAAGCATATTTTGCAAAGTAACATTTGTTTAATGAAAAATGCTGCATGGTATTTATGTACAAATGCTATTGCAGGAAAAAGATTATCTTTTTCAGGTGTTACATACTCCACATCAATCATGGAGTTCACATAATTTCAGTGCTAACTTAAGTTAATGGCTTACATTACTTTTTTCACAATTCAAAACTTAAATTAAAAGAAACCAAGCATTATATACACAAAGGCACAAACTCCTCTTCAAGTCAGCTATATTACAGTACAATGGAAATTATTCAATATTTTCCTTTCCAATATTTTTGCTAACAGAAAATTATTTTAGACCAGAGCCCTGTCTCCAGAAGTTTCACTAATTGGGTATCAATACTATTCCAGAATTTATAATGGAAACACATGTATCATTTTAACATTAAACTGAACTAAATTGTTAAAAAGTATTTATCGAAAGACTCCCTAATTTTTTACTGAAATTTTTGTAATCATTCTGCTGAAGATGACAACTGTCTCTTCCCATTCAGAAAAAAATAAGTCTTCATTTTAAGTAATGTTATTTCTTAAGAAGTGTTTACAATTGAAACAGAGCTGAAATGTTTTCAGAAAGGCTGCTTGTAATAATTTACAAAATGTAGAAATCTAAAGATGAATGGAATAGTTATCAAGCTAAATACTTTTTGTCCAAAAACTAAACTGAAGAAATCAAAATTGAAATCATATGTAATAAATGGCCTGTTAACAAAATATCCCAATTTAATAAAAGATATACAAATTCTTCATCACATATATTTGTTCTGTTCTCTTTCTCTCTCAAGTTTAGTTCTTCCAGCTGTCTTTAGAAATGACCATTACCAATAATGGCTTAGGCGAGATTTGCAACGAAATCTGGTTTTTTATTGAAACCTGTACTGGAGGTTTGTGCATATGCCAATGTTGGAGCTGCTGTAGAAGTCAGGCTTCATATTAGCATAAAGCTAATCTACTCCTAAGGCTTTAAGCTGCCGCTCAATCTCTTCATCTGAAATTGTAGCATTTTTTGATGTAGATGCAGACGGCATGCCTTTCGCAGCTGAAGGAGCCTTTGCCATCTAATAAAAAAAATATGAAAAGTTTAATTTATGTAACCAAGATAACATTTATCAACTGCAAGCATACATCTATAAAGACTGCTATTACAAAGTAAATTAAAATGGGCAAGGGGAGGAGATTTCTACATACCTTTCCAGATATTTCAATTCCAATTTCATCAAGAACTTGGTTAACAATATCCTGGCTTTCTTGTTCTTCATCAGAATCATTGAAGATATCATCTAGGGTATCATTGACTTGAAAGAGAAGTCAAAGCCAAGATTGAGCATAGTAACTAGACAACTTCAGCATAACTTTTCAGTTTTATGTCACAGAATGTTTAAAGCTAATGTCAGGAATATACTAAATGTTTCAATTATTCCCATTTCACCCTCCTGAATGGGCAGTGAAGGTTTTCATTTCAATGTGCTGCATAAATCTTTTCCAGAATGTTATCATTCTCTCCCAAACCATGGATGGTTATAGATGGTTAATAACTTCAATCAAAACCAGTTTAAAATCTATGAAATCAATTATAGATTTTTCTTAGTAGAACTAAGAAAAAAGTTTAGCCTAATATGAAAAAAGAGCTTACTCATTTCTTCGGTCATTTCCATTTTCATGTTTTCTTTCTGGAAATTCTGCATAGTTTGCATAGTCTTCTGTGGATCCATCTTTTTATTGACAGCCAGCATTGTCTACCAGCACAGAGAAGGCCATTTCATATTAAAAGATATTGTGGTCTAATATCATATAAAGATCACCCCACCATTACAATTTTATATGTTTAAAAAAAGTCTTGTCTTGTTTGTAATCCAAGTTTCAGCATCATAAAGAGTTGTTAGAAGGAAGCTATCTGCAAACCAGATTTTAATACCTATTTCTAATTTTGATCTGGCTTGGTCTAACAATAAATTAGAATTACAGATTCACAAATTTGGAATAGACTACTTAGAATACAAAGTCCAATAATTAGTCAGTAGACAAATTCAGATTAAAATATACCCAACAAATGTTCATTTAAGCCTCTTACTCAGCAAAGGAGAACTTGCTTTCTCCTTGAGGAATTGGTTTTACTGCTCTTATTGACAGGAGGTTTTCCGAGCATCCATCTGGAATCTGCTGCCCTGAATTGGGGACTATCATTCTATATCCTACTAGGATGTTTGAGAACAGGTCATGGCCTTTTTCCTTGTGACATCACTTCAGGCATATGAGAATCTTAGCATATTGTCATACAATTACCATTTTCATGGCAAATATATATATATTTCCTTCCTTTTCTTTTTTTTAAACATGATTTTGTTTCCAGCAACTGAACATCTTTATTGGCCTGATCAAGTTTGTCATTTTTAAAGTGCTGGACACAGTAATCAGGGTACTCTAATCAATGCTATAGCATAATATTACCTGATCAAATACTGGATTCATCAACCATCTCCTTCGTGTATTCTTTCTGGGGTAGAGAATTTCACTTTGATTGTAAACACTGCATTTAATTTTAATTATGGTTACTGAAATGATCCAGCTTCAAACAATGGCTGATGGTTGGCTTGTTTCAAGTATGTATAAGAGTAACCATTGTTTGTTCAGGAGCTGGAAAATGGCAAGTTTAAGGATATGTAATGACAGCCCACAGTAAACTACTATGCATTAAGAAACACTGTGGCATGAGTGAAGCTTTTACATAATATTTTTAATGTACAGGTATTACAAAATAACGGAATAGCAAAAAGTCAGAAAAGTTTTAGATTTTTTTAATTAGTTCCCAGCTGAAAAAATGCCTTAAACTTATTAGGCAATTGTTTTCTGTACCACTTAGTTCTAATCAACCAAAAATGCTCAAGATCAACAGTTTTCAACTAGTGTGCCACAGCACATTTCTATGCCATAAAAGGTCAGTTGCCATGCTGCATCAGCAAGCCAAAATAAATGACAGGAAGTGCTGTTCTGTTGTGCAGCTACACAGTCAGAACCCCACTTCCATTACATCACTTGGGTAAACTGCTTCCATTTTTCCTTCTGGGTCCCAACAACCTGTGATGTCACTGGACCTCTGCTCACCAATCTAAAGTCCTGACTATAACATGTGTGCTCTGAGATGAAAAAGATTAAAAAACACTGCACTAAATTTTCAGACAGAGGTTTTTCCTAAGGACTTGGGGTAGTTAGGCTCAATTGCCTACCTTTGCTGTTGTTGACATTGCTCCTGCCATCTTCATCTGGGAATTCATCAGTTTTGTCTGAGTTGACATGGATGTAACTTTTGAGCTAACAGCATAGGTTCGAGTTTTCTGTTTTCTCAATTGCACAAGCTGTTTTGCTAGAACCTTACAAGCTTCCTTGTTTCCTGCTTTAGCCATTTTCTTTATTTCTAATTCCTATTTATTGAAAACAAAGCTGATTTTAAAATTTGTTTGTATTTATATTTTATCAATTATCAATATAATTATTATAATAAATAGCCACAGACACCTAACCAGTAGTTGTATTTGAAAACTTTAGGAAAGTAGAAAATATCATTTTATAAATTGGTCTCTTACTGTGAACAATGAACAATTATGTGATACACTTACCAGTTGCTTTTCTTGTCTCTCCAAAGCTACTCGATCTCTTCCGATAGCCCTCTGCGTACCTCTTAATTCCTTATTTTGTTCTTTAATTATATCTAAAACCCAAAACATTTACAGTTAATTCATAGACATTAATGACATGAATAAGACATAGATTTTCTAACAGTGAGAGTATTCTTAGCTGGGTTGCTCTTCCTACTCATTACAGAACGTCAACAATTTTTCTTAGATTTCCAGAAAGGAAAAGAGACCAACTTCTTATCCAGCTTCTGGTCCCATTTGCTCTGGCATGAAATTCACCACAAATATAAATCTGCCTGTTCCTTTTACAATTTTTTAATTTTAATTTGCTGCAACATTTAATGCTCACCGATCTCTAAAAGTTCAAATAGCCCTGTACTCTGATACATCGACAGAAAATTCTGTTGGGTGTCGTCACCATTATGTCATCTGATCAACTGCTATCTACCCTCCTCTGCCTCCCAGATAAATAGGAGCAGTAACCCAAATAGGTTATACATGGTAGATAGATGATAATTCTCGTCCAATATTCATATTAGATGGCAGCACATAATAACATTATTGGTGACATGGGGTGGAATAGAGAAAAAAGGGAAAGCAAAAAAGATACAGCGTACAATTTTTCAAAACCCCAGGAAACAACAACATAAAAAACCCTCATAGGCGTAATAGTAACATAAACTACCTTAAAGGCTAAACAACTGCTGAAATAGTACTGCTATGACTAGTTTGTGAAGTAGCATGAGGGCCAGGCAGAATTCTGTGGAGGGAAGGTATTCAACAGAATAGGGGTCACCATTGGAAAAAAACTATTGACTATTCCATGCCTCCTGTACTTTACAAATTACTATATAGACTCTTTTCATGGTCATATTGCATGGGTAGATTTGACTTGGCATAGCATTACTTTGTTATATGTAGCCTTGTACCCCAAAGGACTTTAAAAGTAATGACTCGCACTCTAACTTGAGTCCAGAAGCCCACTGGCAACCAATGTAACCAATGTTATTTTAAAACAGATTTCAAAGTAAGTTTTTTTCTAGCCTGGGAGGGTTACCTTCAGGAGATCTGGCTATCAGGTTTTGTAGCAGCTGCAGCTTCTAGTTGCTCCCAATAACAGCCCTAAAAAGAGTATTACAGTAGTCCAACTGACTGCTGAGCAAGGAATGACTGTTGCCAGAAAACATGTTCTAGTGTATTTTGATGAAAGAATTAAAACTGAATATTCAATTTATTCCCAATAATTTTTAGTACATTCAACTGAATAACAAACCAATTAATTTTTTTAAAAGTAGTGATTTTTCTAATACAGGAGTTGTATATATATATATATGTGGGGTGTATCTGTTTAAGTTTGAAGTTGTGAACAGCAACTAGCATGCACATCCTGTTCTTATGTCTTCAGATTCAAAATTTACAAGAATGTTTTACAAGATACAATTCTGGTAGGTAGATAATTTTAATAGGGTTGTAATCCCCCTGAAAGAGAAGGTCTGGGGTTCCTCTGGGACCCATGGCTCCTACTGGAAAAGTAGGTGAAATCTGTGACCAAATCATTTTTCACTGGCAAAGCCTGACCTGAAGATGATGTCTTTGTGGCCTGGAATACTGCAATTTGTATTATATGGGCCTGCCCTTGCAAACCACACAGAAATTTAAACTGGTGCAAAATTTAACTGCCTACGTGTTGCCATGCAACATTGCTGCTACAAAAACTACATTGCTTACTATTTGGCTCTGGAGTGCAATTAAAGTTATTGTCGCCATCATCATCCTATATGACTTAGGGCCAGAGTATCCCATCCTAAGACTAGGTGAGAGATTATGGAAAAGCTGAAGAGAGGCATCTAGATATTTCTCTCAGAATAAGAAACTCAGTCCAAATGTTAAGATGGAAAAAAAACACTCAAAAAGTGGTACCATGAATCCTATGGGATTGAAATTTAACAAATTTGTGGCTCCTGCGATGATTCTCCCTGCCTGTTTCCTACAAGGAAAGTCAATTGGGAAGCCGGAAGTTGTTCCTACTTCCACTGTTNCACAATCTAAGGAAAAGGACAATCAATAACGATAGGAAGTGCTCCTGCTTCCCCCAAGCTAGATTGTGAAAAATGAATAAAGTATGGATTGTAGCCACAGATTTATTTTACAGCTTATAATAATCCTTCTTGAAATATGATTTTCCACACCAGTAACATTTCTAAAATAGTCCAAAATAAAATTATTTCAATAATAATATGTAAATAAATATTTCTAGCTTGCAATGATTGAGTTAGTTTTAGGCATCCATCTGTCTTTCCAAGAAACTGATTTTCCAGGATACAGTAACTTAATTTATTCAATTTAGCATGGCCGTCTAGATTCTGGGTCTTACAAAAGTCATAAAAAGAAGTAAAACAATTAAACAATTAAAAGACAAACAGGTGGCCTGTCGTAAAACAATTAGAACAAACAGGTACTACAAAATAAAGTAAGGGTTTTAAAAGCAACATATTCCAGATTGAAAACAAACATGGACAAACATAAAATCAATCATCTTAAAACCTGCAGTTCAATTTAATTTATATTAGTCAAAGTTAAACAAGTATTACCACCCTAACTTCTGATTTTGCAAACTATAAAATCAATTAAACTCCTATTGAAAACTGACTAGGTTTAGGTTAGGAAATCATGCTGGTGGTTGGCTCTTAAATGAGGTTTTCAGGGGAAGCCTTGAATTCATTAGAACAAAAATATCCTGTTTTTGACATGATCTTAAATCTGACACAAAGTTTTTCCTATTCTATTAAAAGAGAGAGACATCAAATCAAGATTTTATTATATTGATATATTAAAGAAACCATTATAAACAAATTCAGAGTGATCAGACAAAATTAATTAGAAACATATACCAAGACAATGGGAAAAAAGGATGCCTCTCCTGGTTCTATTGGATTTCTCAACAGCTTTTGATACCAAAACTATTAGGAACAGGAGTTGGAGGTGCTATTTCTCAGTGGATGGTTTCAGTTTGATGGAGAAAATGAGAGGTTAGCCTCTTGCCCCTACACCAACTTTTAAATGAAACTACTGGGAAGTTCAGGATGTGGTATCATCAGAATGCTTTTGTTGGCTATCCAGTGTAATATCCAACAAGATGCATTTCAGTGGTGAGAAAAATAAGGTCCTGAACTTACTCAGAAAAAAACCAGATGCACATGTACAGGATAGGGAGGGTACACGAGCCTGGCTCCAGGGAATTATAAATGCTTCTCTGTGGGAGGGTGTCTTCCCCGTAACCTTGAAGGAAGCGGTGGTGAGGCCCCTCCTTAAGAAGCCTTCCCTGGACCCAGATGTATTAGCTAATTATCGTCCGGTCTCCAACCTTCGCTTTGTGGCGAAGGTTGTGGAGAGTGTGGTTGCGTGGCANAGAGGCATCTAGATATTTCTCTCAGAATAAGAAACTCAGTCCAAATGTTAAGATGGAAAAAAAACACTCAAAAAGTGGTACCATGAATCCTATGGGATTGAAATTTAACAAATTTGTGGCTCCTGCGATGATTCTCCCTGCCTGTTTCCTACAAGGAAAGTCAATTGGGAAGCCGGAAGTTGTTCCTACTTCCACTGTTGTTTTTTTTGCTTACATGTGTCATTCTGTTTCTCTGTTTAGATAAGTAAAAATCTCTCTGAAACAGTGATTCAGTCGGTCACAAATTGGCTATTACTTTAATGGAATCCATATCATTCTTGCTTCTTTGGTTATTGCCAACTACTTCGGACTTGGTGGTCTATTTCACCCACTAACTAAGATGAATAGGAAATACCTGGTGAAGTTTCCTCTCTTAACAGAATATATAATTGGGGGGTGGAGGGAGTCACAAAGATGAACCTAAGGTCTTTGGAATAGTTTATCTCCATTCTTATGGTATTCTGGAGAACAATGAAACCTATCTTTTGGTGACTAAGCTAGTAAGGTACACACACTATTATTGTCCTGTATTATAAGAGTTCCATTGTTTCATTATAATAAGCTTTATTCTGTGCTTGATTTTGTATTTTGTTTAGAGCCTCTGAAGTGAGGCAGCTGATAAATCTTAAAAATAAATAAAAATACTTTAGGTTTTCACGTACACCATTATGAATCCATGTGGAATATGGCAGTACATTAAATACTATATACTAAACACAGAAATACAACTTTGTTCTCTCTTTTTAGTTTGCAAATTAATGAATTATATGGATTAATTTATGCTATTACAGTAATTTTACTATGTAAATAACTCCAGTTACTTCTAAACAGATTGTTTTCTGAAATTAATGCAATATTAACCTAATATTTATGAACAATTTTGTTAGAATATATGTATATGTATATGTATATGTATATGTATATGTATATGTATATGTATATGTATATATATATATATATATATTCATTGAGAGATGCTACTGGAAACACATTTGTAACTGTCAATTAGATAAGGTGGTATTTTATTAATTATAAACATAGAATAGGTAAGAACACTGGCAATGATTTATTTTTAAACAAAGATTTTTTTAAAAAAAACAACACCTACAGTGTTATCACTTGTTACACTTTGACTGAAAACACAAACTGTATCTTCTTTGACTAAAAGAAAATCTAGTGACAGTCTCACAGATTAGAAGCAGAGGTTCAGCTTCTAAAGAAAATGAAGTTTTTAAATTATACAGCTGCCAGTCAATGATTACATTTATCTATTTCTTTGTAAAAAATAGTTTGTGGAGGTTTCTTTTTATCCCTAAGGCTATTTCAAAATAACACACAATAAAACCAAAATAATTCATTTGCAGCTATTCAAGAGACAGACAATTTCTTCCTCTTCTACAGAGAAAAGGGCAGTCTTTTTCTATTAAAAATCCCATTTCTTTTGAAAATGAAATATTTCCAAAGTAAGTTCCATCTTGGTTTCACAATCTAAGGAAAAGGACAATCAATAACGATAGGAAGTGCTCCTGCTTCCCCCAAGCTAGATTGTGAAAAATGAATAAAGTATGGATTGTAGCCACAGATTTATTTTACAGCTTATAATAATCCTTCTTGAAATATGATTTT